CATTTGCGCAGCAAGACAAAGACTGTCAGTAAGCGAAGAGGAGGTCCCGATATTTCTTGAGATCATTAAATATCGCCTTTTTTAACTCTGGTTTTCATTTAAAAACAGGGTCTCGGGTATGTGTATACAGTGGTTTTTGCGCAAGGGAGTGTGGCTGACCGAGCCAGCCTGACTGTTCACCACCCAACCACCCTGAGGAGTATCATCACTTTGCTTTAGAGTTTCTAGGTTAAAGTTCGTGAAGCTTGTCGAATGTAAATCAATAATCGAAAACCAATTTTATCGGGACAGACTACTGACTACGACTCCTGGCTTACCTCCTCCAGTGATCAGATCTACCATGCGTGTGTGATGTTACTAATAAATACACTGTAATAATTAGTTTTTGGTTAAAAAAGTAGTACTACATGATAATAGTTTCCACATTACTCATAGATCAAGCATGTATTTCAAATACATATCTTTATCATTCGCCAATTAGGCATATATTTTCTGATTCAAAATTCCTCTCGTAGCAGTACAAGAAGCTTGTGGTCTCTGAAGTGAACTTCCGTATGTAAAACGGATCCGGGGAAGCCTCAGGGAAACAAATCTATTTTTGTGTGAGATGCTGCAAGTTCCGCGTTCTTTGCCTGGTGCTAAAATCTCTTCCACCTTCCAAATATTTTTCACCTAATTACCTCGTTGATGCCTTCAGTTGTGAGCATGAGATAGCAACAGTATTATTTATTGTGGGGGAAGCAAATACAAAAAAATTACAAGCTTTCAAATCACAAGACGATTAGAAGAGAACTCGGCCTTAAAGCAACTCATACACTGCACTAAGCCGGTCGCTTGTGTAAATTACAATCGAAAAAATATTACTACTGATGTAGTAGCTACTTTTCAGTTAATTGTCTATGTCTACTTGCTTTAAATCCAACTTACTATAACTGACTGCCAAGTAACAGCCCTGACATTGTCTCTAGAAAAGATGCCACAAAAGCCAGCAGCTTTATTTACTTCCGTTATTTATAATTACCACACTTATTCGAAGACCTAACTACTCGATGTTTGTACTTTGATAAGTTTGCAAAACTATTAACACTATGCTCCGCATGAATTACTGCGGTCATGCATGATGAAATGCACATGTTGGAACGTGTACCACTGGGTCACCCGCTGAAAGACACCTTTCGGCACGTGACCCAAGCTCCCTCGTCCCGGAGGGGTTAATCGCCAACAGAAGATAATCGGAGGTTGCACCTTGTGGTGTCATCCTCCCCCCCCTCTTCTTCTTTTCCTGGAAACCCTCACATTGTAGACAGTTTATTTAGGACTGCGAATTAAAGCCGCACAAAGACGTAAAAATTATGCTGCCCCGGTTCTCGGAACAGTTCTTTGGGATCGAAAGAATCTTTTTAGGCGGTTGCAGTGTGTGCGCACAAAGTAGCTAGTGCTGGAAACTAAACAGTTGCTTCTTGTCCACCTATCACTTCCCTCACAGCCTTGGTGGCAAAACGTAAGACTGGTTAATTGTCTAAAGACTGAGGATAGCCTGCAGTCTAATCACAAGAAATTTCATTCACTTCCGAATGCCAGCTTTTGCACAAGCTTCTTTCTAGTCGCCCGCGAAAACAACGCCCTGTACAAAGACTGCTTAAATGGTATGCATTTTCCCGAACGATTTTCATCGCATTGGATATTTCAAATATTTTTATTGAAAAAATGCTTGACAAACTGTTATAGCCCGACAGGTAAGCGGAAGAAGTCAAGAGAGCCAGTTTCTGAGAATAACGACTTTATTCAAGGCCTGTACAAACCGTGGATTCTCTAGCTCTTTAGCTCTAACTTATATGTGGGCACCTGGCCGTGCTAGAACATGCCTGCCAATGGCGCGCGCGATAGACGTTCTGGAACGTTCTGGCCTGTCTGCTGATTGGTTGTTTCCCACGTTGCAATGCCATTGCGGAAGTTCTAGAATATTTAGACCACACGCGTGAGCAGAAGGCGTCATGCGTGATTGAAGCGACAGCGCATGCTGGTTACCCACGCGTATTACATACTCAGCAGGCTTGACCTGTTGCGGCGCCTGTTGTCACATGACCTTTTCGCCTTCGACTGCGCCGCGGTTACCGTCTCCATAACACAAATATGCTTTTTCTGCTACCCCTCTTTAGCAGCAAATTACGTCCGCTTCGAATTTTATACTCACAGGACGTGTATCTTGTGGTTTTAAAAAAGCGTTCTGATTCCGAGGTATTTAAAGACCATTAAATGTCAATTTGTAAAGCAGGCCATCTCTCCATTTATCAATGGTCCTTATAAAGTAAACAACAGGATCCACATACAGTGCAAACATTTGTAAGTACCTTGTGACGTCTTCGTCATGGCGTAGGGAAATGGGTGATTTTTCTTAGAATAAAATATATGTGGCATGTAGTTTGGAAACCCTGAGTGTATCTGTAAAGACAGGTCGGTTTTGAAATTACTCGGGAATTCGAAAAGTTTTTTTTTTAGTCGAAAGATACACTTTTTTCGAGTACAAGATTTGAAGATGTCTTTTTTACCAAGCAAGTATAAGAAGGAACATCTTAAAGCATGATTTCCATAAAAAAATATTTGGATTTTCAAAGGCATCCAAGATCGATGAAAAAAAATTGTATTACTTATGGAGTCAGCTTTTTACGGTGTTGTTTTCCCAGACGGCCAGAAAGAGGCTCGTACAAAAGCCGGCACC